TACATACCAAGGTGTTCCAGATATCCTACGAAGTGTCTTGGACTGAAATGACTGTAATATTTTGGTATTTGATAGCTTGGTACATTCTCAGAGATTAAGTTGTTTTTTTTGCTCTTAAGTGTATCTTCAATATCATTTTCTCATCCAAGTGTAGTCAAAGATATTTTACTGCAGTTTTTAAGGGGATATGGTTATTTATGAAAACTCGGGTGGTCTGCTCTGCTTCTTGCAGTAAATGGGATTTGGACAGATTTATCGTTATTAACATTTATTTTCCATATAAGTAAGTAGCCATCTAGAAAGGATATCCAGGTGGTATTGCAGCTTCTCAGATGCTATCATCAAGTCCACATCTGAGATTATATTGCAGTTTAAACTTTAAATGTACCTTGTACACTTAAACAGTATTATTTTCCTTTTAAACTAGGTTTGATCTTATTAACTGTACAATAACACTGCTGAATTGTTGAATGTTTCCTTCTAAATCCAAATTGATGATTTGGTGTAATCTCGTTTTGAGGCACTATTTGTTCTATTCTTATAAGTAAAAGTCTCAAATGTTTTAAAATTTGTAGTAACAAACTGATCAGACGATAAAGAGTTGGTTTCAGTTGACGGCTTACCAGGTTTGCTAACATGCTGCCTTGTGCCATTTTCCATTGGATGGGGTAGTAGTATCCAATCCCAATATACTATTGTATATGATAGTCTGCAGTATACTTGTAGTACTTCTGTGAGGAAGGATTTTATGAGTTGATATTAAGGTTTCTTTTGTCTAACAGTGTTTTTGGTTCCTTGCCAACTTCACCCGACTCTTTTTCCATAATTATTTGCCTAATATGAAGTAGTGTTTGTTTTGTACTCTTTTATGACCCTTGGGTGTAGCTGTCCATGAGTGATGTATTGTATAACTTCTATTTATTTTTTTCCATATTGGCTGAATGCTGATAGTTATGATAATAGGATTGTGGCCTGATGATAAAATTGAACCTCGGTTCAATAGTGTTGTATACATCAGATATACCTTTGGTTACAGTGAAATCCAACAAATCTGCTATTTACTTTATATTGTGATCGGCTTTTAGAATCTTGTTCCAAACGCAATATGCTTTGCATTGCAATCTCCGAGTGGAGGAAATCCCTATATTCTTTCGATGATATGTAAATACGTAAGTGTACAAAATAAAAACCTGTTTAAGATTTAACTGTTTTTATTTAATAAAAACTTATGACTTACATTAAGTTCAAAATTGCCATTAAATTATATCATAAAATGAAAAATAAAATAAAAAAAAACATCACATATTCAGATTAATTAAACTTCTAAGTTGCTTTTTAAAAACATTAATGTTTGGACTGAAAGGATCCAGCAGCAGGTCATTGCAAAAGCTGAGCATTCTTGACAAGGGAAAATGATGAGCATAATCACTTCTATAAAGAGGGATATAAAAGAGTTCAGTGTGTGAGTTTTTGATAGCTTTACCAATATCGTTAATGAACAAGTTAAAAACAAGAGACCACAATGAGACCCAAATATTGGCAATCCATCATTGCATGGATGAAATAGAATGGCATGAAAGAAAGTTCAGTTCAATTGCCATCTTCACAGATAGCCAGGCAGCGCTCAAGGCACTTACATTATGTAGAGGTTAGCTCTAAGCTAGTATGGGATTTTTTGGTTATCTTAATTAAACTGGGTGACCTTAGCAAACTCACACTAGCCTGGGTACCAGGCCATGAGGGTCATAATGGCAATAAAAAAGTAGATGAAATGGCCAAATAAGGCTTATCAATGCCATTTGTTAGTACAAAAAAGTGGGTAGCTCACAAATTTTTGGAATGGTGGAGAAATTCACCAGGACAAAAACATTTAAAAAAGTTCATTACAGAACATTCGCCAAAATTTATGACAAACCTAATAAGCGAAGACAGGAAATCAATCAAAGCCATAGTAGGTCTGCTAACAGGGCACTGTAAGCTGAATAGGCACTTGAAGCTGATGGGATTGTCAGAAAATGATCTGTGCAGATTCCGTCATCTAGAAGAAGAAACAGCAGAGCACATTCTATGTCAGTGCGACAGTCTAGCAAAAGTGCAGTTCTTTGCACTATGATAGGAAATTCTACCAGCAAATAGCGACATGGAAGGTTCAGTCTCAAATTGCTAGATCTTTTACAAAGGGTCGGGCTAGAGAATGTAATCTTGGACTAGAGGACCACAATAATAGATCTGAAAAGGTCACAGTGGAATAGGCCAATAGCCACCTCTACAATTTGTATTTACGATCTCATAAGTAAATATCTACCCATCTCTCTAGATTTGAATTATTGAATGATTGATTAGTAAGTGAAATATAAAGTGAGTAAGTAATTAATTTTAATGATTTCTTTGCTATGTGTAAACAAAAAGAGCACAATCCACAAGTAAAAATAAGACACTCCAATGGCGTTATATACTAAGGAAATACCAGTTGAACAAATAACAAGTGAAATAGCCAAATCTAGGACATACTGTCCATAATATCATTAATGTCAGACACAGGCTCAATAAAACAGTGTTCCCAATGTTTTATATTAACCTAGAACCAAAACAAACCAGCAAACTCATTTATACTGTCACCTGACACCAAAATGTACAAAATTCAGAAACACACCAGCAAAATACTCTAAATTTCAAACCTATAAACAAAAGGATATACTACATCAGAATCAAGGGAGAACAGTACATCATGTAATAGAAAAATTAAAAAGTAGGAAAATAATTTATGTTCTAAAATTGTTCACAGCTGATTGTTGCCAACTAACTGTGCCATTGCCATTAAAAAAATTCTGAAATTCAATTCTAATATCTTTGGCATTTATAGTACAGCGATTTCCAGCTTGCCTAGACATTCCCTGCATTTTACAGGACAAATCTTCATCCTCTTGATTTTCACTATATATTGATGAGGTTTTTAAAAGGTAGTTGTGTAAAATACAACACACCTTTGTTATAGTACACACCTTTTCTACATCAACATTCATTGTGTTTAATAGAATACGAAACCTATTACACAGAACACCAAAACTATTTTCTACAGTTCTTCTAGCACGACTTACTCTATAATTATAAATTTTCTGTTCATTTGTTAAACTGTTGGATCTATATGGTTTCATTATATTCTCCTTTAAGGGAAATGCATCATCTGCTACAAAAACATAAGGAATTGCTTTAACTCTCCCTGGTAAACACTTTGCAGGTGGTAATTTAAGTGTTTGGTTTGTCAAAGATGCTGATAAAGCACTTCTTTGGAAGACACCTCCATCACTAATACGACCATTTCTTCCTATGTCCAAAATAAGAAACCGGCCATCTGCATCTACTACAGCAAAAAGTACAATGCTGTCGGTTCCTTTATAATTTCGATAGTATGCTCCATCCCTTCTGAGAGGTCGAAACTTTACATGCTTTCCATCCATAGCTCCTAGACAATGTGGGAATTGCCATTTACTATTAAATTTACTACTAATTGCCAGCCATTCTTCTTCTGTTTGTGGTGCCTACAAGAAAAACGAATTGTATTAAATAATATTTTCATCTAACCAAATTCATATATTTTTTTATATTTTACTTATATATAAATACAAACCTTTAAGAATTCTTTTTCCAAATATTTTATGATTGCAGCCATTACTTCTTTTATTATTACACTAAGTGTATTATGAGCAATTCTAGTCGAGTAGCTTAAACTTTTTAATGTTTCCCCTGTGCCTAAATAGCGTAAAGTAACCATTAATCTGTAAATTATAATATTATGTAAATATAAATTCTCATAATTTCAGTCATTTATTTGTACCTGGATCGACTATCAATGCTTTCACGCATTGGTGTGTGTTGTTTGGTTATGTCTGCTTGAACATAATTTAGTAATGTCTCAAAGGCCTGCTCAGACATCCTTAAATAATTTTTATAGGTAAGAGGATCTTCCAATCGAAGTTCGTTGTGAACCATGGATACAACATTGTTATGGGGACTTTCAAAGCGTCGAAGAAGCCAAGGTCTAGCCCACATTCTTCGTTTTTGCTTTCGAATTTTTCCAAACCCATATGCCAGAACAGTGGCAACAGTTAATAAACTCACAACTCCTTTCAACCTTTTTATTTTCATTGTATAGATAATATAAAATTGTATAGATAATAAAAAATTGTAGATAATTAAAAATTGATTGGTAAATAATCACAAACTAGCAAAACTCGGCAATGAACTTCATTGACAATTGACATACAAAAATAGACAACTCTCCATAGCAATTTGATCAAATTTGACTCAATTTGACTGATCGTGTGACAAGTACATTTTTATAATTTGAACAAACTGCAATTGTGACGTCACATTCTGTCAATCTGTCAGTTTGCTCAAACTAGTTTGATCAAATATTTGACCGTCTGACACGGGCTTTAATATTCTATTTGTCTATTTGTGTTCTGTGTTGTAAACATAACGTCCATGGAGCACATCGAATAGAATCTACTCCATGATAACAGCAGTTTTCACACGTATAATCAGAGATATCTCTGCGTATAATATTCATAATTGGTCCCGGTGAAGATAGCCTCAAATTAGATGTCAATTAAGATTCACAGAACGAAAATTTGTTGGCAGTGTTGCCATATTCTTATAGTGTATATGTTATATGCTTCAGTTACAAAAAGAGAAAGCACATTTTTATTATAGTATTTTATGGATCCTGCAATTTTATAATTTATATGAAACACGAATTAATTAATATTTGTTTCTTTTAACATTAATTAAAGTTAATTATTAGAATTTTTTTTGACAATTACCCTTTAATAGGTTAGAAGATAGATTTTGCAATGGGGTCAGATCTCTTAAACCGTAATAGAAGCCTTTTTAACTTTAACTTTATACGACCATACAATTAAATCAATATACTACAAAAGAAAAAGAACGCAAATTAAATATTCATTTCAATATACGATGTTCTGTGTTGATTCGTCACTTGTCACTCCTTGGTAGTTTCTAGTTTGTCAGTTGTCATTACAAACAAAAATACAGTGACTTGAAAAATTATAAATCTTCAATAAATCTGAAAATGGTATGATATTTACTATCTTTTAAGATAATATACTAATAAAAATAGTAAAAACTACACAACTCGATATTATTTACATAAATAATTTTATAATATGTACAAATTATCCATATTACATGCTTTTTGTTTCAGAGTTTTGCACTGCCTTCAGTGAAACCAAGAGCCTCCGCTCCAGAAAATTTTGAAATACACGGAGACATGTTTGGTGCCCAGGAATTAATGAAATATGGTTTACAGTCTGCAAAATGTAGCACAGAAGTACCACATCAGTTGTTCTCCTCTGAAGCAAAGGTAAGAACACAAAAATACTTATATTCAGTGTGTTTTACTTTACTACTTTTTAGTATCATGCAAACAGGGAACAGATGAATATGACTATATTAGCAAACACCCAAGGCTTACATGCACCATTACGATTAGCCATGGAACTGAAATCCTCTAAGAAAATCGGAAGGTTGCCTTTCTTGCCTTCTTCTAATATTATGCACGATGTTCTTACCGGTAAAGACCTTGATGTAGGACCTGAAGATGTTTATGGTACTTCAGAGTTTTTGGAATTCTCAGGTCAACCTCATGCTGTTGTAGAAAAGTCTTTAGGTATTTTATAGTTGTTTAAGTAAACTTTATTTTGTATCCAATAAACGATTTCATGTAGATATGGACAGTTTTTGTTCTGAAGACCTAGGGATGTGTAGATGTAGTAAGAATAATACGCTGATGTTAAAAAAGTTGAAAGTCAACAATATTTATTAAAAAAGTTCTAGCTGATGAAAAGACTAGGATGTATAGTAGGTACCAATGAACAAAGATTTCCTTTATAAGACTGCTTGTAAAGGTATTTATATTTGAATCATTATTACTTCAAATATATAACAGGTAAGATGAGAATCACATTATGCTTGTATTGTTATTATATCTGTTTGACGTTACAATCCCATTCAAATAAAAGTATAGAATACTAACATCAATATAACTTAGGATTATTCCATGTAAAGTGACAGGAGAAGCTTATATAAAACTTAATGCCATTTTACAATTTCAAGCAAGTAGTAATAAAAAATAGTCAACAAATTGAAAATAGAATGGTATATTAGGGTCCCACCATGATAACTAGTGTATTTCTATGTAGATCATTCCCTTTTAACTAAGGAACACCTAATTGATGCTCATAAAAAATCTACAGGCTTTTCATGTAAATTAGTAAATCGTCTTGGTACTTGCAATAGATCCTATCTAAAAAAAAAACACTTTCTGGTTTATGAAACATACATGACTGATTCAGTCAAATACACAACTCCAATAAGTTATATGTTGATGGGTCGTGACTTCATTTAGGTAAATAAAATTTCGGATGAATTGATGAAGAATTGTAATGATGGGAAGTTTTTTGTCCTTCCTAAAATGTTACATGAAAATGACATACGGCCTATTGCAGGTACCACGACGAAATGATAATTAATTAGGTACATGACAATACTAGAAATATATCTGAAGAACATGGAACTATAATTGACAATTGATATAGCTTAGGAATTTGACAATATATTCGAGGTATATTAGGAAATAATCATTGTCAGGCTGTGTCAAAGTGAGAATCTTTGGAAGGTTATCTAGTAATATTTGTTGGGGTAAAAGGATCTATAGCTAGTCCAGATGGTATACTAGTAGAGATATTGAAACTACTGAATAATGAAAGCATATATAAGTATATCAACAATACTGGCAAATTGGCTAACTCCTACCTTTATTACAATACCAAAATCTAAATCATAACAAATTGCATACAATTACTTTGAAAAGCTCAATTAGTGGTCTCTATGTGAGAAGTGTTATTTACAAAACGCAATACGATTCAATCAAAAACGCAAGCAAAACAAAAATACTGAGCCGAGATCAGACAAATATAACAATACAAAATCATACCATAGAAAATGTTGAACATTATGTATATCTAGGTCATGTTATCAAACTAGGAAAACCAAATCAAGATGCTGAAATTAAAAGAACACAACTGGCATGGGGCGCTTTCGGCAAACTAGCACATATCTTGAAAAACACCTCCATTCCTATAAACTTAACGAAAAAGGTGTATAACACATGTATACTACCAGTTTGTCAGCTTGTGACCAGTTTGTGGCTTGGAGACAGTAGCCCTTACCAAAAAATCTGCTAAAAAATTAAAAACAACGCAAAGAGCAATGGAACGAATCATGCTTGGAATATCACTAAGAGACAAGGTTAGAAACACCGAGATAAGACGTAGAACAAAGATTAGGGATATTGTGGAAGAAATTACAAAAATGAAATGGGCTCTACAGGTCACGTAGCCCGATATAATGACAACAGGTGGACACAGAGAATTCTAGAATGGAGACCAAGGACGACAACAAGAAGCATGGGAAGACCTCAAAAAAGATGGGTAGATGACATAAGAGCAGTGGCAGGCAAACAGTGGATTAGATTGGCGCAAGATAGAGAAAGATGGAAGCAATTGGGAGAGACCTACATTCAGGAGTGGATGGAAAATGGTTGACAAAGAAGAATATGATTCAACTGCATTGAAAGCTCTTGGCATATACAAAATGAAGATTAACATCCTGATGAACTAGAGAGTTTCCTGTGATGGGAAATGGGATATGTTAAGGACCTTTATACAATAGGATATAGAAAGGATATAGTTAAAGATACATCCTATTACTGTTATTATTCAATCTAAATTTGGAACAGTTCGTTAGAGAGACATTTGATATCAAGAAAGATATTAAGGTGAATAAATATTAGATATGCATATGACATCAAAACGAAAGCAAATATACAACAAACATACATTTGTGACATGATACGAAAGAAATAAGAGCTCTGAGATTTTACAGGTTTTCATTACAATGTAGACTTGAAAGCTTGACACTGCAGCAAGAACATATAACTAAGTTACAGTCCTTTGAAATGTGGTGTTACAGAAGAATGCTTAGAATAAGATGGATACAGAAGAAAACAAACAGAAATATTGAGAGAAATGGGCAAAATTACAATATCTGTGGCATGTAATGAGGATACAATAATATGATATGCTATGACGCAAAAAAATATTTTTTCTGGATTTGAAGCTGCTGGGATATAGCCATTCAATCCGGATGCTGCCTTTGTCACCTAGTTGTCTGAAACACCGAGACATTGAATCAACTGCCGAAGATTTTCAAGCCGACAATGGAGAGAGTATTTTAAACAATTAATAAATACTAATCAGACATCAACAATATACGAACAAAAACAGTACAACGTAGCAAATCTCTAAATAGCGTTTCCAGCGCTTGAAGAACAGAAACTAATTAGAAAAGGGGGAGAACAACTTCATGTACAAATACATCACATTGATATAATCAAATTGTGATGCTTGCAACGATTTGTATATACGTAAAGGTACAAGAAAAATCATTTTTTTCACCTTTAAAACTCGTTTTCATTTTGGTCGATAGGATACTTTGTTAAAAAGCTAACGAATTTTTACCGTCGAGGTGATACCTACAAATTTTATTTAAAAAATTGATTTCATGCGCGCCAAATCGCTGGTCGCTTCAAGTGCTAATTCTGAGAGAACGGTGTTATTCTACACAAAAAGTGTTAATAAACATTTTTGTTCAAAATTATCAGACAAGAAATAATTTTGTTTTTTCTACCGCGTACAGTTTTTCGGTTCCCCGTACCTAAAAGGGGAGTTTTAAGCGGAAGTTAGGGGGCAGGGTTTTCTGCATCTTTTTCGGTGCCACAATATTTACATTCTCAGCAAAATTCAGCTTATTTGTATGATTTTTATAGATTCAGTGACAATTTCGTCTCTGACGACTGGAATATTATTTTCTTGTATATAAGGTATATACAAGAAATATGTATATTAGGTATCTGGTTATCACACTCCGCATCAAGTTGATACGTATTTGTCGAAGGATGAGGATAAAGAAGTGCACATTATAAGAGAAAGCATGAGCCGACATAGATTTCGTTCAATCAAACTTGAAGAGAAGAGAATAGTGAATAAACCGCTACATAAGTGTCAAACTTGATATATGGACGTCAATCTAAATTTGCTTTACCAGATGAAACTAGATTCGACAATATTGGACACATTACAAACGTAATACATTTATTTATGTAAAAGATGTAGAATGCATCTACCCCGAATATTTCGAAAATTTTCACCTTAAAATTTAATTAACATTTAAGATACCTACTACATGTTCCTTTATTAAAAATTATACTGTTTTTCCTTAAAAATTAAAAAAAAATCATATTGGTTGTAAATAAGTCTTAATTTATGTGTATTTAATCCAATCTAATAAATTAATTGTCAAATTTCTCTTTGTATATTGAGCGGCCGTTAATGGGTTAATACTATATAAAGAATAAACTTGCCTCAAATTTGCTTTACTTACCTCAAAACTATTTTAAAATTAATAATAATTATATACTTGGGGAATATATTTAATAAATATATTCCCAAAAATAGAACACACCATGCATATGCACATATAGAATATGGAACGAATAAACCAGGGCTTCCCAAACTTATTCGTACTGTGACGCCCTTGGGACTTTGCTATTTTTTGCGACGCCCCCTCAGCTCAACCCCCAATAATATTTACCAATTTTAGTACTAGCCTAGTAATAGATTATAGTTATAACAAAAACACTATTTGAACATTTACATTTTTTACTAGAAATTAAGAACGAAATCAAAACATATGCGCAAAAATGAAAAGGGATATTTATTTATGTAACTGACTGGTTAATGTAAGGGATATGCTTGCTTTTTTCAGCACAGCTTATGAAACCGGGGCTCCAGTTTGGAAATCGTCACTCTCATTTCTTTTTCCAAGTTTATGTTTGACCTGCACTTATTTTTAATTACTCCAACTGCAGAAAAGCTCGTTTCGCACGCAAATGGTGATAAAACCTTTGTGTTAAATAAAATGAGAATAAATGAGAAAATGAGCTCCAAAATTCAAACAGTTTATCCTTGTCGTATTCAAGCTTTAGGCTGGAATTACAGGACAATTATGTCAGTTGTTCTTCTTCCTCTGTTGAAAGTGTCGATTGCATGTATGAAAAGGGTTTATGAACCAGTCATATTGCTCCATATCTTCGGGAAAATATTTGTCAAAGTATGCTCTCAATGATAACATGTGTTGTGTAAATATATTCTGTAAAGAGGTATCAAGGATTTCTATCAATTTTTTTTAAGAATACCTTGTAAAGCAAGGAAATTTCTAGTCAATTTCTTGACCTTCTAATTTTCTCTTCCATAAGCGCAATTTCTGCTGAAACCCAGCAATTTTATCTGCCAATTCGAGGATATGAGTACTATTTCCCTACCAGAACTTAGATAATTTAATTTGTCACAGAGGTATGCTAATTTTATGATAAACTCTGAATTAATAAAGTTTTGCTCATCATCACGTGATTCTGCATATAGATACGTGTAAAATTCATTTCTTAATTCGTATACACGTGGGAGTACGTTGTCTTTGGAGAGCTAACGAGAGTTGCAATAATAAATTAAAGAGGTGTACTTGGCCCCTATTTCTTCACAAAGTTTATGGAAAAGTCTTGATTTCACGGGTCGTGTTTCCATGACAGAACTTAATTCAGGTATAACGTTCTTTGTTGCTAAGGCTTCTCTATATTGTTCTGAAGCTATTTTCTTGTGGCATTGTAAATTAATTACTATTAAACTGGGAATAAGCCACAATTAATAATTTCCGAAGTGGAAATTGAAACGTCAATAAACGTATTTTTATCTTTAATTGTGGCTTATTCCCAGTTTAATAGTAATTAAGGCTTCTCTATATGGCACAATGTGTCCATTTTACACTTGGAGCCTTGGTTTTGATGAGAGCTTATAGTCCTCCATACTGTCCACAAATCGCTCGGGCACCATCCGTACACAGGCCTACACAGTTATCGCAGTCAATATTATTTTCAGTCATATATTATGAGTTTAAAATCTCGAATAATTTTTCTGAAAAATAACAAATCCTCCCATATGTTTGTTTCTTGTATGTACAGTAGGTACTTAACATATCAATTGTGTATGATCACTATCAGTCGACTCGTCCAATCGAATGGCAGATAAACCTGAAAGTGTCGCCACAATTTGCTTATTAATATCTTCTGCCATGTTGTGAATACGGCGACTAACCGTATTGTTTGAAAGAGGCAAAAAAGTCTCTTGGCTTACCTTGTAAATGATAATGGCAGGATAATTTCGTGGACCATCGGTTAATTTTCGGATTAAACAATTTTTTAAATAATTTCGGATAATTCAATGGTCTATCGACTTGATGTTATATTTTTTATTTGATTTATTTATTAAGACATATATTTTACACTCATTTAAAATCAAATAAATATATTTTCTGTATTAAAAGTCAGCGCTGATACGCGACGCCCCTAGGACAACGCAGCGACGCCCCAGGGCGTCGCGATGCACAGTTTGAGAAGCCTTGGAATAAACTATTTCTCTTATTCCCATTCGTTCCAAGAACGTAAAAATATAGCTAGCGAAGATGTTAATAAGTTTAACGATGTTTCAAACTATTCAATGAACTTTTCTCTTAACGCCCGTGAATCGCACTAATTTATATTGTCATGGGGGCTAATTTTATGGAACTATTTTACTGCTCATGCACTTATTTACATTGGCGAAGTATACACAATAAAAGTAACCTCGGAAAAATTTACTTCTGATATTTAATATTGTTGCCGTTAGCTCTTATTTCGAGAATATTAATTTTGGGACCCAAAAAATGCAAAATTTTACCACTTTTACCCCCGGGCTTCTCCCTAAAATCCTCCTAGAAGGGAGGTAAAAACGCAAAAAAGTCGATTTACCAAGAATCTGTACACCGTAGAAAAAAAATATTTCAAAGAAAAAATGTAGCTAAAGAAACATGTTTATTAGCATTTTTGTGTAAAATGAACCGTTCTCTTAGAAACAACGTTTGAAGCGACCGTCGATTTTGAACGTCAGTTACGCACGCGAAATCAATGTTCAATAAAATTTGTATCAGTTGGAAGGTAAAAATTCGATATCTTTTGATCAAAGTGTCATATGACAAAAATTTGAAGAATCTTGCTATAGTTTATTTTTATGAACGAGAGAGTAATTAGCATAATTTTAACTGGTACCTTCGACCACTCCATGGGCGTGCTCAAGATTAATTGAAAAATTACTTTGAATAATTGTAAAAAATAAATGAATTATTTCAGTGTTATAAAGTGTTATGTGTATGTAAACAAAAGTGACCTCTTTTATCACACACTATATTAGAACTGACTGGCCTACATTAAAAAGGGTTTTAAAAAATTCACATTTTTTTTTAATTTTTAAAAATTACAAAAGAGAAAAAGAGTTTTTAAAACCGTCTAAGGTATGTTAAATAGATGAATAAAAATATTAATATAAAACTTACAGCTACTTGTTACAAATCCAAATCAGATTCAGAAGATGAACTTTCAGAACCAAGATTTATAATAACTGGCTCGATCATTTTATCAGTAATATTGTCCAGCTTCCACATTTTTTCCTCTTCTTTAATAGTGTGATTTACTGCCTTTTCCCAGTTTTCAGGTTTTACATTATTTACGGCCTCCAAAAACAACTGTTTAACATCATGAATTTTAAAAGTGGTATTTTTTCTTGAAACTTCACTCTTTATCTGTGCCCATACCAGTTCAATCGGGTTTAATTCACAATGATATGGTGGGGATCTAAGTACTGTCATTCCACGATTTTTGGCAATTTCATCAATTTCGTATTTTTTAAATTTTTCTTTATGAAGGGCACACAACGAATAAAGTTCCTTTCTTATAGATCCGGGATGGTACGTAATATTTTTTGAACTCAGCCAATTCTGCAAGTCTTTTTTTAACCACTTGGTTGTGGGCAGTCCTTCTATAAGTCTGGAGTGATAACTTGCATTATCCATTACTATTACACAGTTCTTAGGAAGAAGATCTATCATTTGTTCGAACCATTCTTGAAAGACATCAGCGTTCATGTCTTCATGGTAGTCACCGGTACGAGTTGATTCAAAAGTTAATAAACCACCTTCAACAAAACCGTCTGAACTGCCAATGTGTACTATTATCAGCCTGCGTCCCTTTCCTGATGGTGGGTTTAAACCAGTAGATAAGTTATTTACAAAAGCGTGCCTTTGACTTGTAACAGTTTCATCCTGCCAAAATTTATTTGGTGTATGACCCTCGTTGATCCATGTTTCATCAAGATAAAATATTTTTCTTTTTTGGTTTCTCATTTCCTTTATGGTTCTTAGAAAATGTCTTCTCCATATGACAATATCGCTTCTTTCTAATAAAATAGACTTTCTGGGATTCTTTTTCCAGCGGAAGCCTATTTCTTTTAAAAGTTTCCATAACGTACTTCGACTCATTTCTGGGTAATCCTTATCATCTCGAACTGAGACAAGAACTTTATCCAATGTTGGAAATTCTTGTCTAAAGAAGAATTCATGCACTTTCCGTCGAAGTCCTTCTTTAAAATGATATTCTATTTGAAATTTTGGTTTCCCTGGAGCATTACGTGGCATTTGAAAACTACCACATTTCTCTTCTTTAATAACTCTGTAAATCGTAGATTTCCCAACACCAAGTGTACTGCTAACTAACTCAACGGTCTCATCAACACTTTCACATAAACGTTTGTCTGTAAATGATTTAAAACAATTAAATATTAATGTTTTTTCATTAACTGTTAAAGGACCAATTTTTCGGCGTTTACACGGCACTTCCAAATTTTCCATAACACTAGTATACACAATAAACTGCACCTTGCAACTGAAGTACCTACTTTTAGTGAACTGTTAAGAATTTTGAATACGCCACTTGGACCTTCCTACAAAATGGAAAAACCCACTATCACATTTTCTGTGGAATAAGTTTAGAAGGTAATTATCTAGTCAATTACTGTCGTAGATTCCTGGAATTAAAGAATTAAATGTTTGATTGTTGAAACCCTTACTTCGTGGAATGCACTCATTTCAGATAAAATAAAACGTTTTATTTTATCTAAAGAATTAAACTTTATTTTGCAAATAGGTAGGTACTTATTAAACTTTTATTGGTTATATATAACCAATAAAATAAACATCTTACATTTCTTGCAAATTCATTAGTACCTGTTAACCTCCATCACTCCGACACTGGCAACCTTATTTAGGGATTAGTAACCCTCACAACTATTGTATTCTATTCTGCTCCAACCTTTATACCTGGTGGTCATACTCAATTTAAAATTGTTTTCCTATATACTTCTGTAAACTTGTTGACAAATATCTGTTTTTCATTGAGTCACCCGTATCAACAGTTTAGGGATTTGCATGCATAATTTATTGTTTTATTACTCTCTCATACATAAAAATACACTATAAAAATTAGCCCTAAACTTTTGTACAACAGACCATTTTAAAGGTAATTCATTTTTATTTCCATGAAATCTGCCATTTCATATACCTAGATCTTCGTAGAAAATAGTTATAGAACAATGTTTGCAAAAAAATAGAGAAAATATCCAAAAAATTATGTGTGTGCCAAATTTTGAAAAATCGTGTCTGGAATACTGTAAATCCTAAACACTTATTCCTTACGTCATTTTGAAGAGAAACGATACAAGGATTTTTCTGTTAAGCAAGACCTATACCTATACCCCCATGGAAAAAGTTATGGGACAAAAAAGAAAAATCGCGTGTGTTCCTGTTTTTTTTGCTTAGTTTTTTGAATATATTTTGTAAAAAAAATATTTTTGACTTTAAAAGGTGACATTTCGATAAGAATTTTAATTAACAACTTTTTTGTAGAAGTATATGTACGAAAAGTGTATAAAATTCACCCAAATGCAGACTAATGCATAAGGACAAATTCATCTTTTTCTTAAAAACGCACTCCTTTAAATAGTAGCACTCCGCAACTTCTTTAACGATTAAAGTTCCTCTTAACAATCTTAGCTCTTAGCCCTATTTTTTTAACATAATCAATAGCCTATTTTTTCAATGAGAGCTTACATCTTGTATGCTAACGAGTTGGTTTTCGAAAAAAGCTCTCTTTGCAAATGACGTAATTTGTCGATAAAACAAATGCTAATCGACTGAAGACAAACAACAATTTACAGAGATGCAGAATCGCGAAGGAGCGAAAGTAGGGGAATTCAACGGGTGGGCAGACAAGCAACTACGGTGACCACTTGTTCTCCTCTCTCTATTAGTCGACGATTTAACTATTTCCGTGATACATGACTAGTTTCACGAGGCCGTGGAACAAATGCATATTCAAAACGCGAAAAATATGATCAAGATTAAGTGAAACAGAATTTTTATTCGACCATTACGAATATATTAGTGTAAAGTCGTGTGTAGTTTAAGATAACCGAATAGTGAATTGTTTTTGCGATGATTTTATATAGTTTTACGCTTTTTTTGCTAGTCGCAACTGTTTCTAGTCAAGGGTAAGTTTGTATATGTATATATTTGTATACTAAATATATGCAAATAAGTTTTTTTACTATAGGTACAGCTAAAGCGGTATAAAATTTTTGAAATATCTATCGCCAAAGCTTTGCAATAAAATATTCTATATCTTTCACTTATAGGTATATACTTTGTTAAAAAAACATTGTACAGGTGTTAAGATGTAGGTTGAGTATGTTATTGTCCTTGATATTGCAGTGTGTCGCCTAAAATAGTTCGTTTTAAAAATACACAGTGATTCAGAATAAACAATGAATCAGAGGACAGTGAAAATGTATATAATTATAATTTTTCTTTTGAAATATGATTGTTTGACAGTTTTAGTACTTTTTATCTCTAAAAATATAGACTAAACATACATTTTGTTTTCTGCACTGTTGAACAAAAAGTTCCGGATAGTTTAAACTTGAAACTTATCTGATTTACTGATGCCAATTCTAATACGTGCACATTGCACATGAATCCTGCACACACATCTGTACTAATTTTACCAGCTTTGTGGGTGATCTCATTTCTACCATTACCTTCCACAGTATGTCCTTGTTTACAGAGCCATACGCTTGTTTAAAATCTACAAAGATTTTATGTACATCTTTGTTGTATTCTCAACTATTTTCTAAAGCTTGGCGCAAGATAAAGATCTAGTCCAGTGATTCCCAAAGTGATCTATATCGACCCTGAAGTGGTCTACGTACGCACAAAAAGATTGGGGATCTATAAAATGAAAATGGGGCTCAATGGCAAGAAATTTCAATTATCAATCATTGTCGTACACACAAGCAAATGCCTTTGTGTCATATATGCAACGAAATTTTTAGCAATAACGCTATGAAGGCACCTAAGCTGGAAGATCAACTAAGAATATGTCACCCTGATAAAATAGATAAATATTTGAAATATTTTTAAAAACTTATTAAAAAAACTTCAGAAGAGACCCACGCTGGACAACATCTTCGCTTCGACATCACAAAGAAACGATGATGGTTTGCAAGCGCCTTACAATATCTTGTTATTTCTAGCAAAATCCGAAAAACCGCATACTACAAGACAGTTATTTTGCAACCATTGAAGTGTTTTATATAGTTTCTATGTATTATTTCTCAAAATACTACATGGAAGACTTTACAAAAATTATTGAAAAAGATATAGATGACACCCAGTTTGGATTCAGAAGAGGATTAGGAACGAGAGAGGCTCTGTTGCTTTTAACGTTTTCATGCAAAGCGACTAGATATGAACAGGATCTCTATGTCTGCTTTATAGATTATCAAAAGGCTTTTGATAGAGTACGACATCAGAACTCGTAAAACTGTTAAAAGAAAAGAATGTGGATAGTCGAGATATACGGGTTATTGTCAATCTGTACTGGAATCAAAAAGCAAAGGTTAGAATCGAAAATGTCGATACAGAAACTATAGAAATCAAAAGAGGTGTTAGACAGGGTTGCGTGCTGTCCCCATTGTTATTCAATCTGTACAGCGAAGCTATTTTTAAGGAAGCAATATCAGAGGAACAACAGGGTATATCAATAAACGGAAAAATCTTAAACAACATAAGATTCGCAGACGACACCGCTGTTTTTGCAGACAGTCTAGAAGCACTGCAACGCTTAGTAAATAGATTACATCAAGTCAGTATAAAATATGGACTACAAATGAACGTTAAGAAAACCAAGTGCATGATTATTTCTAAGCAACATACAGTATCGAGGGAAAACAAGTAGAAAGAGTGAATAACTACAAATATCTGGGAACCTGGGTAAATGAAAACAATGACCAAGGTAGAGAAATAAGGACACGCATTGAAATTGCAAGACAAGCACTTATAAAAATGAAAACAATGTTTGTTAATCGAGACCTTCCTCTGGAGCTGAGCATAAGAGCCTTAAGATGCTATGTGTTCTCGACTTTGTTGTATGGAATGGAAAGCTAGACACTAAAAGTGGATGATATAAAAAAGTTGGAATCATTTTAGATGTGGAAGAAGGATTTTTAAATGTGCTATAGAAGGATTGTCAAAATATCATGGACCCAACGAGTTACAAATGCAAAAGTGTTAAGAAGGCTACAAAAGGATCGCGAGGTCATAAAACACATCAAAATAAGAAAGCTAGAATATTTAGGCCACATTACCAGAGGTGCGAAATATGAGATATTAAACCTTATAATGCAAGGTAAAATCAAGGATAAAAAATACATAGGAAAACGAAGAATTTCCTGGTTAAGAAATCTAAGAGAATGGAATAGTTGTAGCTCAGTAGATCTTTTCAGAGCAGCCGCCAATAAGGTACGGATAGCTGTGATGATAGCCAACCGCCGATAGAAGAAGGAACTACAAGAAGAATAAGAAAAAGAAGTGGTTTTAAAAACTGTTCTACACAAACCTGCATCTGATATCATTAAAACAATTTATTTAAGAAACAACACAGGTTAAAGATGTATTGATGAAATTAGTTATGATGTTGAAAACCTCTGTAATTATTTTTAAACGAGTCATATCTGGTACCTGTGATTATATGCTTCGTTGACTACCAAAAGGCATTTGATTGTGTAAGCTGGATAAATCTGTGGTCAATTTTAATAGAAATGGGCACACCAATGCACCTGGTGACACTTATTAAAAATCTGTACCAGTCCAATATAGCAACAGTACAACTAGATCAGAAGTTCTCAAACCAATTCAAGACCGAGACCGAGAGAGGTGTTAGACAAGGATGCGTGTTGTCACCTGACTTATTCAACATTTATGGTGAACATGTCATGAGGATGGCTTTAGATGGATGAGCCGATGGAGTGGCTGGTAGAAAAAAATTCAATTTAAGATTTGATTATGACACTACACTTGTAGTAGCAGATGAGCAAGAATTCTTTAATCTCCTGCGAAGAGTTAAGTACGAAAGTAATAAAGTTGGTCTTTTGTGGGCGGGTACTATAGGGTTTTCACACCACTCTAGAAGCAGTTCTTCCATTAACATGTTTAATTTATAAGGTGATGTATTTTTACATGAAGCTGTTCTTTCCCTTTTCTAATCAGTTCCGCGTGGATGCCACCTGATCTCGGAGCTTTGTTATTTCTTAGTCCAGTAGTACTACCTTTTGTTGAGAAGTTGTCCTCTATCGTCTTTTATGAATCCCAGACTGTTTATTTTATAGCCCTTTAGTGTTTTAATTTTCTTATAACACTGCCCATACTGACCAGTTTCGTAGTTTCTCTTAAGTTGCTTTATCCAATTTTCTATCCAATTTTTCTTTTCATTTCAACACTTCTCTTTTATCTTCTATTTCTATGGTAAGTCTCTCTATTCTCATCTGTTGGTCTTGTTAGTAGTCCATTCTTTTGTTGGTTTTTAGCTTAAAACTCGTTTTTTTCTTTTTTTATGGACTCTGTTGCTATCGTTTCTATGATTTCTCTCATATTTTGCCATTTCTAGTTTAATGTCAGCTCTGCATTTGCTATCTCTTTTCCAGCGTATGAAACCTATTTTTATTCACAGTTAGTATTCTTGTTTTTTTCTCATGTAATTCGGGATTTTGTATATCCCACTGGTTGCCTTGTGAGTTCTGCTTTGGCCACTTTGTGCTGAGCTTTATTCTCATCTTTGTTCTCACCAATAAGTGATCCAAGTCACTTTCTGCTCCTATCATGCTATGTACGCTAATGATATTACTAGAGTACCTTTCATCAATGAGTACCTGGTCTATCTGATTACGAGTACCTAGTTCTGTCATTTGTGACTCACGATCACCACATGGACAAAGGGTAGTACGACGCTCGAGAAAAATTTGGACAGACAATATAAATTGAGGAATAGAGTATAAAACAGACATGCTTATTAAAATAGTAGAAGAAAGAAGAAGGTTTTTAAATCTTTATGTCGTAATATTGGATTTTATAACGAAACAAGTTATAAATCAGGTTTTCTTTCCCAAAGTATAAGTAGTAAATAATTTTACGTCCAATTGCTATTTCTGCACCTATTAACCTTCTTTTTATTGAAAAATATCTGTTATACAACTAGTTTATTACATTTCAACATATCTTCTAGTCATAATCGACCAAATCAAAACAGTTTCACTCAGTAGATACACATACTTAAAAATCTTAAATCTTGAACTTCCTACGCGAAAATATGTTGTTAGGTACCTGGACGTGGGTTCTAAAGTCGACTTTTTTACGCGTACGATGAAATATTTGAATTTGATGGTGAGCTTGTGGGCGAAACCTGCAAGGTATTGCCAATTTTGTCTTGTTTCACAACACTCAAAATATTGTGTGTGGATTTAGTTCGTCGATGTTTATTTTTAATTAAATATGCAATGTTTGTCCACTTTAACTAAACTATTGACGGAATTAAACGAAATCAAATAAGTAATGTAATGAGAGACTAAGCAGAAGAGTTATCCTTACTAGAATGGGTTTAAAAGAAACTCAGAATAAAGTAAAATGCAAACGAAACCAAAAGTCAGAAAAGAGAAGGTTCCAAAATATTTATTCTCTGTTCACAAATTGTTGATAGCACGAAATATGCCTCAAAATCATCAAACGGTCGTAAAATTTGTATCATCATAGGCGTTCCTGAGGTGTTTATTCATTAAAATTAATATTAATATTAATAATGTTTTAATACTGATATATTTAGTAAAAAACAATTAAAACTTTCACGGCTAATGTTGGTTATTATATTATATTAATAAAAATAATAATTTAACCATTAACAATTTTGTAAATAAGAATACCTTATCTCTTTGGATATTTCAATACTAATCTTCGCGTTTAATCACTTTACTAGAAAACCTGGTATTTATATCCGAAGGTACTATTCGTTGCAAGATAATTAGGATGGAATTCCCCAGATTTTTAATAATATAATGGGTATAGATGCGGTTTGGCACGTACCTCGTCTGTTAGTTTATATTCAACTTAACTTAAAAGGGTGAAGTTATTACGAACGAAAACAATTTGTTTGTTTAGTACGTTT